TGGTGTGTTTTGTCTACACAAAATTCTTCAGTCACTTCCAATCAACAAATATGATTCATCCTAGCCTTGATCTACTGATTCGCTGAAGTTCTGCCATGCTTCCTATGACCTTGTTACTTCTTGACTCGTTGCTTTCTTCCTAGTACTTAGGTTCAAGGACCCGGAAATCCTCCCGTTATCATATCTATTAGCATCCAACTATAGTAGCTCTTCCTTCAAAATTCCATATTTCCCTCATTGTCGGCTTTAGCCTTTAACTGGGCTTTCACTTATTGACTAATATAATTATTCTCATTCTACTCCTTCAGAATACTCGCGGTATCCCCTTTAATATACCCCTCCTTTATTTGCACCAGAGTTGTTTCCTTAATATGATTTGAGTAGAGAGGAGATTCTAAAAACTCTTCAAAAAATACCATTGACTCATTTTCTTTTCCATTTAAAACAAAAACCTTGAAAAACCCAGACCGTCACTCTAGTATTACTTGGAAACCAAGAAACAGAGGATGTCGGCTCTGATACCAAAATGAAACAACCCGATTGACTCGCACGGAGCTACAACACAAATTAATCCCGACTAAAGCCCAAGTTTTTAAACTCTAGTCGGGTGCATTATAGGGCAAGTATTTAATTCTCAAACCCGGGTCAGTCCATGTACCCCTACTTCAATCGCTTAAGTTGTTATCTAGCAAAACGGTTTTGGGTTTAAAACTAAGAAAACTACAAACTGAACAAGCAAGGAAAGTAAATGGAGGAGAATTCTACTTGAGAGAGCTTCACCCGGGTATTGCTCCCCCTAGTCTCATGCTACGAAGCGACAAACAAAGCTCTAGTGTGAAGGACGTGTTCATACACCGCTAGGTGGGCGCAATTAGTAAGGGACAAACTCCCTTAGTTGATCAATGAAGGGAAATCAACAAATATAATCTAGGGGAACTAGCTCTCTTAACGTTAGGTCACGGATTGTGATTCATATCTAGAGAGTCTAGCCCTCTTTATCAATCAACCAAGGAGATCCATAACTCTCTCTTAGTTAGCTAATTGAGAGTCGTTACAAAAAGTTAGGAAGCTAACTCATTTAACCTTTCGGGTAAGGGTGACAGTGATAGGTTAGGGAACCTAACCCTCTCAACTAGCCGGCTAAGTATTGCAAACCAAACCCTCAGAACTTAATCTGGTCGGTGGAGAGACCTATCCCGGTGGAATCACGGCTCTACTCCGATATTTGAGATTTTGGTCTTAAATTAACCTAAAGGAGGTTACCTAAGTGGCTAAGGAGTCTAGCTCCTAATTGGACCAAGAGGGGATTTCCACCCTCTAGGTTAATTTCACCCAATATTGAGTTAAAGCTAGCACACTCAATCATTCATGAATAATAGCAAACCTTCCGACCTCTTCGCTGCTCTACTTTTAGTTTCTCTGTGCTGCTCTGCAATCGACCGGTCGTTGCAGGCGCCTTACGACACCGAGCAGTGACTGGATGGCCTGTTTTCAGATCAACAACAGTGCCCAGCAACGGTTTACGATGTTCTTACTATTTTTCCACAAGCGTGCGCTACAGCAATTTGCTGCCCAACGCCCTCGTGCAGTGCAGTCAAAATCGCGCATTAAAACGTAAAAACTTACGTTTTTACGTATACAGGCCACCAAAACGTTTCAATTTCTACCTAAAGTCGCTTAGTCGCAAAAATTGGTAAAAACATGGGTAAAATCGATTAAAATCGGTAAAATCGCGATTCTGAAGCGTTTTTATGCGATATTGATCATCTCATAAAAATGTGCTAATTGGCCCAAAATGATGTAATTTTGGAGACATATCAGCTAAAAATTAAAAAAAAAAGGAAAACATGATTCATCACTAGTTCTACAACTAGCTTCGAGATAGTGGCTTCACATTAGGTTGAAAAGACACTTAATGGTATTCTCAACAGTCGCAGACCTTGTATCAGTCTTCTCCCTTAATCTTCACCTGTGGCTCTTACCTGGGTTACGATAAAAGTTTATGGGTAATTGATCGTATGTAATTATGTAAACTCAAACCAGCTTATGAGAATTTGGATTCTCAAGCTTGTTTACGGGTTACGATCTACTGTTATGAGCTTATTATTAAGATGTTATGAGTTTTCTCTACTTTTGAGTCAACACAAATTAGTTTATGTGTTAGATATTACATTTTAATTATGAATTTCATTTAGTTATTCACTTATCCAAAATCTACACACTCACATTTTACATACTATATGTTGTACTTAAAATATTTTAGCTATTTTAGAGGGTGCGTAAAAAACTTACGCTTTTACGCTTTGATTCTATGTTTTACGATTTTACCCATTTTCCGCTTCTAGGTAGGATCGCGCTTTTAATTGCATTGCTCGTGCGTCACCGCTCATGGTGTTTCCCCACCTATGCATCTCTTTCCAGTGGTTTCACCTATTTTTTGCAGGTTTCAAAGGAGTTGCGGGCTGGGCCCTTTGGAGACTCTTTTTGGTGGGCGACGAGTCTTTCCAGCGAACGACGAGGCTAGTGGGATGCGGTTCCGTCTTTGTGCAGTTACATTTCCCGGGTGCTTCGGACGGCTACAATTTCGGGGCGGTTACAATTATGGTCGATCAGCGGTTCCACACGTGGATCCTAACCCCGTTCAGCTAAGAAATTTAATTCTTACTTAATTATCCCTTTCATTATTATGATGTTTACACTTGTGTTTAATATTTTTGCTTGTCCTCGTAAATTTCCTCCACTAGTTGGTTTTGGCATGTTTGTTTTGTGTGTGTTGTGCACGGAGTAGTTGGTATAACTTGTTAAGCATCTCTACTGGAGGTTGGGTGGTACTTGATTTTTTTAAATCCCTTTAGGGGTCGATTGTGTGTTGTTTCAGGTAATTTGTACATTAGATCTACTTCTGCAAGCCTATTGGAACACTGCTTATAGGAGTCATGAAGTTTGTACTCGACGGATTGGTGCTTCACGAAGTTTGCTGAAAGAAGACTTTCTTTGTGCTTATTCGTCTATTTATATTCCTAGGCATACTAACAGGGCTTTCCATTGCGTGGAAAAAATGGCCCTTGCATCGGTAGCTCAACACTAGGTTGACTACCGCATTTTACTTTTCAAGAATTGTAATTCCCTATCTATTACAATCTATCTATGACAAAAAAATCATTCATGAATAATACCTCAAATAACATACAAAACACTCAATAAACACAATAGGTTCATATTCTTACATCCTAACACATAGAGAGACTAGGGTTCACAATACCCAGGTGAGTAGGTAGGCTATTCCATAGCTAAACAAGAAAAAACAACAAAAAGGGAAGAAATTACCATGAAGTGATGCCAATCTTTCCTCCTTGTTGCTTGAGACACCCTTGAGATGAAGAAATCTCCAATCCTCTAGCTAGGAACAAGCCCAAAGCTCCTTCTTCCTCCTTTGATTTGCACTTTCTCCCTCTAGAAGAAACCCTAACCTCTCACTAGAATCCTCCTTTATTCTGAAAATGAAAACCTAACCTAAAAATGAAGTTCTCTTTTCTCCTTCAACTCCCCTCTCCTTTTATACCCAAATCAGCTCAGTTCAAGGTCTTAGAGTTGAGTTCAAGGACGCATTTATCAGTTCACGGTCTTAGTTCAAGGACGCGTTGAGAAGTTCACGGTCTTAGACCTCAGTTCACGGCCGTGAACATTGAAACACGTCCGTGAACTCAGTGCCGAGACCAAAACGCACCGCTTCACATTTCACATCCACGGTTCACGGTTTGTGCTTAGAGTTCACGGTCTTAGCGACCGTTAACTCACTCGACGTCAGTAACCTCCAGATTTTCCCTGGACGCTTCGTGGTTCACGAATTTTGGTTCCTTTTCGCGGTCCTATAAGACCGTGAACTCCAATGGCAGACCTTAAACACAAGTTGTTTCCACCTCTTTGCTCCTTTTCTTCCAACGTTCGACTACGAGGCTGTTTTCACCTGTTAGATCCTGAAACACGCTAAAACACAAGAAACCTAGCGTAAAACCACCCTTTTTGGAGCACAAATGCCACAAACGCCCAAGGGAAACGAGGATAAAATGCGTACAATTAGGCCCGAATCACTGATCCTTTTGAAACCAAAACCATAACTCAAATCGAAAACTGGTTACTCCGGAGCAACCCAAACCACGTTTAAAAGTGAAACCAATAACCAACAAATGAAAATGTTTAAAAATCTCAAACGAAAAGCCCTAACACTTGGGCAATCACAATTTAGACACTTAAAACAACTTAAATGAAATTCGTTCTCGCTTTCATCCTTAATTTTTTAGTCATTTATCATCACAAAAGTTCTCTACTTCTATCTTAACTCATAACTTATTACTAGGATTCACCGTGTTACGTATCGCCATTCGGTGTCCCTATCCTCAAGGTAATGGTATTACGTTACGCATCGCTGTCTAGTCCATGCCCTGTCTACAACTGAGTTACGTATCGTGGTCCAGTAGTGACCCAACCATCTATCGCGTCCAGTAGTGGCCCAACCGCCCAGGGGGTCAATTACCATCAACCATACATTACAAACATACACACACAAGCACAACGCGTGCCTGCACCTTAAGTAGGCAGTTAGATGCCTCACACACATAATCGCACAAAACGCAAAATTAACAAAATTACAATAAGTAAATGCATAAACTAAAAGACCTCGACGGAGATTTTACCCACTTTACATCCACCTCAAAATGACGTCCATTCTTTATCGCCGATTGATCCACGTTATCTTTCGAGATCCCATGCCCAAACCACTCGTGCTTATCTTCCTTTTGCACTTTCTCCTTTTAAGTAGTTAGGCAAAACCTTAGTACTTCTTTCTACTAGCGTTACTAACCAAACGATCTCCAATTTGATTGATTCAAATTTCCAAAATCCTTCTTTTAATTTCCCCTAAGTTTTCCCACAAAATTCTGGAAAATTACCATTTTGCCCCAAAATGGTAAATTACAAAAAGGTACTAAAATTTTCTAGGTCTTACCAATTCGGCCCCAAATTTCCAGAATTGCTCGATTCTATCTATTAGGCCTCACCCAAGTTCAAATCTTAACAATTCGGTCCAAAAAGGCTTATTTTGATTTGATACCCAAACTCTTGCTAATCCCAACTTACTCCGGTGGCTTGGTAAATAACTTTTCAGCACTTAAACTTCACAAATTCTACTAAACTGATACAAATCACCGAAAGACCTAAAAGTCCTCATCTATTTATCACTATTACACCATGCAGTTCCAAAAGCATGGGGAAAGCATCTTACCACCGCACCGCCGTCGGCCGTCGCGGGCCGATCATTGCCGTCCATCACGGTCTTCCGATGGCGGTCGTCTTTGCCGACTCCTCCGTCTTTCTCTTCGGACAACAACAACCCATTGATCGACCTTGTCGAAGTTCCGCCACTGCCAACTTCATCGTTCCTCCTCGGCCAACTTCGAATCGCACTCACTCCTGCCGTTTCGGAGGATAACCGCGAGGCCAAGATATTGTGCCTCCTCCCACCTAAATGGTGACTAAGTCGACATTGGCCCCAGCCCTAGCCACCAGCGTGGAGCTCTCGCGCTCTCTCTCACGATCTCAAGCCACCAACCTTCCCCCTCTTTTCACTGATCCAGTCGTCTTCTTCATTGCAAAGTTCGAGTTCCGGTCGTCAAAGGATCGCCCTTAGGCTTCTCTCCTTCGTCCTCTACTCCCCCCCTTTTCCCCCTCTGCCCTTCCAAATTGATTTGGACGAATTTTTTATGAAATGAGTCGTTAGAAAATTCTGACAGTTTCTTATATCAGGTATAACACGGGCACAAGACACGGTCGTGTTCTGACCCGTGTTGCACTGTGTTACAGTTCTCTTGAAAATGGCTCGGCCCATTTATTACAGTCTTATAATAGACAAATAAATGGAATACAGTTCACCCACACGGTCGTGCCCAACCCGTGTTACGACGCGCTATGCTTCATTTGCAGTTTCGTCCAAACACCCCATTTAACCGAACATGGTCTGGCAACACGGTCGTCTGACGGTCCGTGTTCTAGCCTGTTGCTACTTCTTCATCACTTTACTCCTTCCAATCTTCTTCCAGCTTGCGGTCGAACCTAGACCAGAATTTGGGGTGTTACATAGCCAATGATGAGAGTTACCTAAGTTGTGACTAGTAGAAAAGCAAAATTCATCACCTCCTGAAGAGCAACATGGATAACCTTCGTGAGCTCCTCCTTAGAAACCCACGTTGTCGAAAACGAAGAGGAATCCGAAGCAGGAGCAGGTCGAGCTTCAATCGTAGCATAAGCATCTGGTGTGGAGTTCGAACCAGCAGATCGGGGATGAGATCCTCGACCCTGCTTAGGACACACAACACACTCAAGATGTGACCAGTCTGGAAACAGAAGATACACCAATTGTGCTTCCGGCAAAAGCACTAAATATGACCAGGATCTTTGCAGTAGTGACAAAAACGACCAAGTATTGGCCCCGAACCACTAGATAAGCTTTGGCCCGAGTCACTAGAAGCACCTAGAGTTGGCAAAGAGGACAGAAACTACGGCTTGTACGAGCCAGCGACAAACGCAATTAAATTATCAAGCGAACGAGCAGCAATAGAGTAAATCTGTGCTTGACTCTGAAGCCAGATTTCCTCACGATATAGCTCGACCAAAATGGTACCCAATTTAGTCACATTTCGATGGAGAAGAGAGGCACAAATCGGTTCAAACTCAGGGCGAAGCTTTATGAGAAAATGCATCATACGACCTCGTGTACGTTCAGCAATAGTAGCGTCAGGAGTAGGACTTGACGAAATAGAGGTTGAGAGAAGATCACTCTCTGTCCAGAGATGCATGGCTTCCTGATAGTATGAGCGAATATCCATGCTACCCTGTGACAACCCAACAATAGTCGTTTCCAAGGCAAACTAATGTAACGCATTTGCCTGGCAGTTATTGGTGCATAGGTGTTTTCACATCTCACTAACATCATAAAACGATGCACACTTAGCCCGGTAGGGACACCAACACAAGCCACAAGCCAAGAGATTACTTGGGTGTTTTTGGCCTCCCAATCAGAAAATTCTTTAGCATAAGATTCAACAGGTGTAGGATGAGTACCCAACAACAACGGAAGAAGACGCTTGCCCTAAACAAACGTACGGAATTGAAATTCCCACAATGGAAAATTTTGTCCAGCAAAATGAGCCACCACCGCATCTAGCTTACCCAAATCCATCACAAAACAGTAGCACCACAAGAGGAAACAATCTCGAATACGCACAGACCAAGAACCATGAAAAGAAATCCCAAGCAACCCAAACACAACAGCCGAGAGAGAACCCAACAAAGCAGCCAACGAATACCCGTAAGGAAGCCTAAGAATACCTAAATCGCCGCAGAAGAACCAAAAACTGAGCAGCTGAAGAAGACCACACCCGAAGAAGACCAAAATGCAGAAAACAACCAACTGTAACCACACAACAGCCAAAAAACCTCAGAATGGAGGCTTTGATACCATGATAAGAACTCGAAATAAACACGAACACAACACCAAGATTTACGTGGTTTCCCTGATAGTCATAACTGGTCCACAGGAGAGGTAGAACTCTCCAGAATAACTATTATTCAGCTCAGGTTTTCTATACATCAAACATATATATATATATATATATATATATATGGATTCGACTCGTATGGTCCAGACGCATAGCATGCTCTAGATCTTTGCACCGTTGATCTAATCTAACGGTCATTATAAATTTTATTAAAATTAATAATTATAATTACCACTAGCACCCCTTAAATAATGATACGTGCTATGAAATCCCCCAACAAATTTTACCGTTATGTTTTCTCGTATGATACCGTATTTTGTAAACTTCTTTAATTGAACACCCAAAACTCTATAATTTATAAAATAGTTAGCCATCATCCCACAGTCCAATTGAACCTCCATCGTCATCATCTGTTCACCATTACTTCCCCAATAGCTAATCGCGCATCATCATCAAAACCAAACAACAATCAAAACCTAAACCCTCAAGGCGATCTAAATTTAATCCGTAAAATTCATGTTTTAGGTTTTCTGATTATGCAGAGTTGTGCTTGCTCCCCTCGTCCAACCCAAGACTCGAGCTCATCATCGGCTGTAGACCGGTCATCAACTCCAGCTCATCTTCGTCCCTGTTTCTGACCTGCAACGACTTTAGCTCATCATCTACTTTAGGATGGCAGCGGACTGCTACCCTTTAGCTAAGAATCGTAATCAGTTGACGGTGAAGTCCTATGAAATTACTTGTGTTGAAATAATGAATATTGTCGTTTCCAAGATGCAGCAATCGGTGATGGTCGCCGTCGACAAACTCTTCCACAACAAGGTCTATAATCGATACGTCAATCGGACCTCCAAGTTCATGGGTGACGATGAGAAAGACGTATGCAAAGTTGGAGATCGGGTAATTGCAGTTGCCCCCCTTCTCGCAGCGGAATTGTCGTGGCCGTCGGCCGGAGCTGAAAAACGAAACAGAGAAACGGCAGAGGGAGATGTGGGGAAGAAGAAGAAGAGTCACACCTCCCTAAAACGACGTCGTTCGTATAAAATGTTATAAACGATTGTAGGGTTTCGGCTGGAGGAAAATATAAAAATGCATGAAGTATCGAACCACCGACCTAGTCATTATCAGACAAAATTTTCACCATCTATAATACAAAGCTTGTTTGATTTAGTTGACGTAAACCCTTAATAATACCATACAAGATTATTCTTCCAGCAAATTAAGCTTCGCCTCACCATTCAGCTCCATCGTCGTTGTCGCCGGTTCCCAGCTTCGCTCTGTTTCCCAGTCTGTTTGATATCTCCCCAATTATACTAGATGCCTTCGCTCATGTTAATAAGCTTTTACGTAGCATGGGTACACCTATGTAATATGAAACAATTATAGAGTGTAATTGAAAATTAAAAAAATCTTCTTTAATTGTGATTTTGCTGTATGTACTATATACAAATGAATTCACCATGAAATGAAATGTGGTATTCTTATATGAATTACTTTACACCTGGTCTACAAGCAAGGTAAGTAGGTCCATTACCGGCCGGCTCGGGACTGAAAAGACCTAACGGAGGAATTGGCTTATTATACTCACGGTGTATGGAACTATCAATAGTTAACTACTTGAGTGGACAAACTTATATGACATTTGGTATTGATTCATTTCCGCAATCTTTTTTTTTTTTTCGAAAGTCTCATTTCGGCAATCTATGAGTCATATTTGGGCCGCTTCAATCTAATGACGAATCATGTTCAATTATGCTTACATACTCATATAATATAAGGAAATATAATTAAATATGCTTTGATCCTTTGGTTTTCACCACAAATTTCACATTTTTTCAACTTGTTTATTAATCTTGTTTACTTACTCCCCTCTCAATTTTCTAATGATGATTCATACATAGTTCTCGAGGTTTTGCCCCTTACATCTCCATCTTCTCCTCTCCAACTCAATAAGTTAGATGGTGAACAAAGGTAAAACATAACACATCCCCAACTTCCTTTGAATTAGGATTCATTTCTTGTTGCAAATATTCACTTGTAGCATACCATATCTCAATGGACTGACGTAATTAGTCTACCGTGTGTACATTTCCGTTATGAGGGTGTTTTTCCAAAATCAAACTCTGTTGTCCTACATCATGTACTAACAATCTCTCAGCGGTGGCTTGCTAGAAGCCCGGAGTTTATCATCAAAGATATCACTCTAATAATCAAATTAGATATGATTCTTGACATGAGACCTTGATGCTTCCCTTAAACCCCCTCTTTCCACTTGGCCGAACCAGAAACAACCCCCACTATAACATTCCAACCCAACTCTCTCTGCACCATCCTCTTGTAATTTGTAAGAAATTTAGCTAAACCATGATTTAATTAGCCTAACTAATTTTAACACAAGACATTATTTAAGTGATTACCATGTCAATATTAAATAACTTAAACCAATCCAAAACTTATTTCAACCGTTCATTTTACAATAGGTGATCATATAGGTCATACAACACAACGAATGACGCTTGGACTTGAAGAGACAACTTGATGAACAAGAAGATCTCATTTACCTAGCTCATACGCAAGAGCTCGACCTCGAATCGTTTACTAAAATTCAACACGAACTTGATCATTATGAGCTCACTAGCTTTCCTCGAGTGTGGCTCATCAATTACTTCATTTATGACTGAACTTTGTAAACCAGCGAGGCTAATTTTGAATCTATTTCAATAATGTAAAATGTAGTGCTTAATAAACCCTACCGGCCGTTCAGACCAAAACATACATAGATCGACAAATTATCTTTTGGGTTATATTTGGTCGTCATAAACCCAATTCGCCTAAACCTAATTCACGGTGAACCTCCACCGCCATCTTTCAAAATCGCCGGTGCACATGGAAGTTGAAAATCAAACTTGACAACGAACGACCAGCAAACCCATTAGAAAATTACTCGTTTACGCCATTTACTAAAATATTTTGGGATGCTACTTATCGTGAAATAAAATAAGCGAATTATAATTTATGAATACCAAAAAACAAAGAAAATTGAAGCAGTAATTACTTATAATTTCCCGCTAATTTGAAATTAGAAAAACAACAATTGCGGGAGTCAAAAAATCAAAACATTAAAATTCTCCCTCTTATATTTTCGGAAACCTTGTTTTTATCCGCCAAAACAATTTTTCATTTCTTTTCGACCCTCCCATTCCACCGAAACAGAATCCTTTTCATTCGCCTTTTCCATTAATCGTTTAATGTTCCTGGGACATCTGGTCGATTAGGGTTCTTCGAAGCTGGTTCACTTTGCCGACGGCCGAAGGTGTGGCCTTGTCGGTATTCTTCTTTTGGTTCCCTGGAGCCATGTGAAGGTAAGTTTCCGAATCTCTGCACTTCCCTCGTCCCGATTCAGATTTGATTCACTGAAAGAAACCATTGATTTTCTCTCCAACTCTGCTGTTGCCAAAGTTGCAGCCTCATCTTCTGGGCAAGAATCCTCGAATTCGAGCCAAGGCATCCATGTACTTCTACCGGAGTGTTCCAAGATTGGTAAGATACAGTCTTCTCACTCTGCCTTTAGTGTTCTTAGGTGTTGAACAATAATAATATCCGACTACCTTAACCCTCTTGTTCTTCACTTATTTGACTGTATTCGAGTTTATGGTTATCTTTAGTCCCAATTCAATCTTTGCCTTCCCTGAGATCTTCTTTACAAATGTCAAATGAACTATCGTGTTTATTCCCCTCATTAGGGTGCTGAAGGAATCAACGCATATAGAATCGACAAACTGATTCTTGTTGCCGTACGCCAACTCAGTGACAAGCTTCTAGAATCAAGGGAAGCTGCTCGAACCATGCTCTCGCAGCTTGAAACTGCGTATGAAGAATCAGCAGTACCTGACGAATCCGAGCCGTTTTCCTGGGAGCAGTTTTGTTCTTTGAAATTCCCTCCTTCGACTGCACAAACTAACCAACCACCTTAATGATTTTTCTCAGAAGAACCAAACTGGCCCACCAATTTGGGATTAGGCTAACCCTGTTCAAAGGGTTTGGCAATTGGCATCAGCTTTCTGTTTACCTCTTCTGTTCTGAGTTTTCAATTTTCAAACAAGTGAGATCCCATGACAATTCAGTGGTTCTCTAGCTTCTATACAAGAGGTAATAAATTGGTAGATTAATGGATTGGATTTATCGATTCAAGTGACTTCTAAGCATTTTATAATTATGAATATCCAAATCTAATTGCACATTTCTGTGCATACATTCATGCGTTGGAGAACTTGCAGTTATATTTAGCGACTTCTAGTGATTTGATTGGTGTGGAGACCAGAAGTGCTGGTTTGTTTTCGAGAGCCAGAGAGCCGCTGAAGAACCGATCAGCTGTTTTTGCTTTGGGAGATAGGATTAACAACTTGAAGGTTTATATACTTCTATCTAGTTTTCTCTCCTGACCAAGTCCCTCTTTTGGGTGATTTGGGGACCATTCCAGCTGATGGTGCTTTCATCCTTGTCATTGCTGTCGGTCTGAATTTCTTAACAGGTTTAATTTATTTTTCAGGTTGGACAAAGGTGTGATTGTATATGGCGAACCCACATTTGGCAAAGGGTAGGCATATGCTCGCT